GTTTCTAGTTTATTGTATATCCGACTGGACTTTAATGCATCTCTGAGGTCTTTCTTATTCTGTACCTTGGGTGTGGGGGGTTTTGTTGTCGCTCCTGCCTTTTTGAGAGCTGTGTGGTGTTCCGGCGTGGGGATCTGTTGGGGCCTATGTCACCGGTCCCTGTGATGGGCACTCACATTGCCGCACAACATTAGGTCTTGAAAACAGAGTTGTGACTGCTGTTGTGTGTAGGTCGTGTTGTACCCGGGGCACGTCTGTCTGTAGGATAAGTTCTTGTAGAATTTCTGAGTCCGTCCCGCTCTGCTCTCTGGGTCGGCACTGGTTCCAAAGGCCAGGCTGGGTCCTCTGTGAGCAAAGAGGCCAGTTGATTGTCAATGTGATCTATCAAGACGCACTTATTTCTGGGAAAACCAGACCGTAGACACATGTGCGTACACACACACGCGCACACACACACACGCATCCGTATGTGCCACCAGACAGAGAAGACCACTTTCCCTCCCACTGAATGGCAAACTGGGAAGACATTCCTTTGAAACAGGGTGTTTCCCAGATCAGGGATGGTAAACCAGTCTCCTGGAGGCTGGTGGACTTTCTTACCAGTTGAACATACTGGGTACCAGGAGTACTTTGGGTTTGCCCCTTTACTCAGGCCGTGACCGTCGACAGGTGGGTTCTGAGACCCATCTGCCACCGGCCGGACGGGACTGTTAAATCCAGACAGGGTGAGAATTTGCATCCCAGCCCCCGTCCTCCCTTCAGCAGAGTGGATTGATATCCTGTCATACCCAGGTCCGCTCTGTATTTTCCAGCTTCCTGCTGCTCGGAGCTTTTGCAAGTTGAAGGGTTCCCATGTAGATGTCCGGTTAATATCAGCAGAAAGGCTGTCCCCCCGCTTCCTTTCTATATGGGACAGTAGTCTGAAACCCCATCAGTGGGAAGTCGCCTGTTGTAATAATGGGGAAGATGACACTGTGTGGCCCTCGTCTGTGGTTCTTCCCACCACGCGTGGACGTGTTCCCAAAGAGCTCCTCTGGAGCCAGCGTCCCCGCACGTCCTTTAGCATGTGACATCCAGCCCAGCTCTTGTGTCACCCAAGCCCAAATGAACGATGTTCCCCATCTCTTGCCATATGGCCACAGGCTCTGCCTATTCCCTTAGATTCCTTCTTGGAAGGGTTGCAGGGAAGTCCCAACTGCCCCTCCCCCCGCAGACCATGGGACCACCCAGGGGTTCCCAGTGATTGTGTCAGACTGAGTCACCTGCCCAAAAAGGAGACCCATTCACGTGTCCCTGCTCAGACCCTCTGGCTTACCTCCTCCCTAGCCTCTTCCACAGCTCTTCTCAAATAAATTGAGTCGGAATAAGTAAATACAGGTTTGCCCAGAATCTCTGCAGCTTCTCTTCTGAGCACCAGCAAGCTGATGTCTTCACTGGTTTTATTTCCACTTCTGGCATTAATGACCCTACGAGTGCCTCGTTTTTGTCGTCAGCCCAAAGCTGCCCTTGGCCTGTTTTTGTCTCCTCCCCTCTCCCTGGCTTCATGCACTGTCACCTCCCTCCCCTGGTCTCGGCTGCAGATCCCACGGGGCCTCAGCTTTGCCGTCCACTCACTCCATTCCCAGGACACTGGCTTCAGGGACACAGTCACCCCCTGGACCAGGCAGGGCCAGGCAATCGCTGCGTCAGACAGTCTGGGAGAAAGATGTCTCATTTTGATCCCATTCCGTTAGGGGCAGGAGCACAGACCAAATCCAGGGTGGGTCCATTTCTTAGAGCAGAGAGGACCCCGGCAGTTTCCTTTCATGGTAAATATAACGCAGTTGAGCCTGCGTCAGTATGGGGCAAAAATCTAGGACTGAGCGTAGGTCCCAGTTACAGATTACTTTTTAAACTCAACAAAGCTCACCAATCACATGGTTCATTCACCGGGTCCTGGCCCTGACCCCTCGGTTCCGGTACTCACATCACATTTGTAAGAGGCCGAGTCAGAGCTCACTTCTTAGGATGCTTGATGAAGCAGGACCAAGCCATCCCCAAGGGGCCTGTTCCTCACTTATACCTGGGAACTATTTGGGTCCATGTGGTTCTCAGCTCCCCCAGACCCAGACCTTTCTTTTCTCACAGCAGGAATCAGAGACAGAAGGATTTGAGGGTTTGAGAAGGAATTAGGATACGGTGAAATGAATAGGACTTGAGATCTGTTCATTTGTTCGATAAATAGCTCTTGACTCCCTGTCATGGGAAAAGCCCTGTCCTCGAGACCTGAGGATAAATTAGGGAGAAAAACCACAGTGGTGTCTGGGCTCCGTAGCCCCATAGTCATGAGGAAAAAGGAACGGACGTGGGAGTAAGGGGTTCCAGAGAGTTAATAGGGTATCACTTCTCAGGCAAGAGATGCAGAGATAGGGGAGGTTGGGGTGGGGGGGGACGTGCATCTCTCAGGGTTTGGTCAGGAAAACAGCGCCCACAAGTATGTTGAAGATAAAGAATTTAGTGTAGGAATCGGAGCTACTGTGAACATGGGCGAGTTGGGGAATTAAAATCTGGGAGGAGTGTGATGAAGGATCAGAGGACAGTCACTCCATCCCCAGAAGCTCCTGCTCAGGTGGGAACTTGGGGGCTTGTGGGAAAATCCCAAGAAGCCGTGTTCACCTGGCTGCAGAGAGAGACGAAAGGGTGCTAGCCAGGTCCGTGGGCAAACAACCACATCAGTAGAGGTGGGCCCGGGGCCTCTGTTGTCAGCAGGACAGGCAGAAATGAGGGCAGGTGTGAACACGGGATGCTAGGGCCACCCGGCCCCTTCGGGGCACCTCCACAGATGTGGTATCATCCCTGTGTCTGACTTTGTGAAGGGTCATGGCCTCTGCTTAACTTCTGCCTTCTAAATCTCACCCATGTCCCCCCCCACCCCACCCCTGCGCCCCTGTCCAGCTCCCATCCCTGCAGGGAAGGGGATTCTGGGGAAATAGCTCCCAGCGTAGCTGAGGAGTAGTGCTGAGCTGACAGGCAGAATCCAGCTCGGGGCATTTGATCCCAGATTCTGCTGGAAGATGGTAACCTGCTCAGAGCCCCCGGGGCAGGACGGATCAGGTGCGTCTGGGAGGATTATGGGCTGTGGGGCTGTGGAAGCCAGGGAGGAAAGTGGTTCATGGGTACGCGCTCCTGGGGGGCTCCAGGAAGAGAAAAGTGGATGGTGGGGTCAGGATATGGAGGCCCCCAGGGAGCTTAGCAGGATCGGGTTCCTGTCTGTGGGGGACAGAAGCCAGCCCAGCCGGAGTGAGGGGAGGCTTGGGGGATGAGGTGGTGAGTGTAGACAGCTAGCTGAGTGTGGCTGTGAGGCTGGGATCTGGGTGGGGGTGGGGCAGACAGTTTCCTTGCCGGAGTAGGGAGAGAAGGGGCATTTTAAGTTGTAGGTAGGGAGAAGTCCTGCCTCGTGGTCAACGCAGGGGAAGGTCATTTGCAGAGGACCTCTAAAACCGTCTGCTAAGCTTCATCGGCTGTGTGTCAGCTTCGTGAAGTGCTCAGGAGAGTGTCTCTCAGACTCGGTCCTCCTCCTCCTCAGGGCCCACAAAGGCCCTGGCTCATGGCTCAGCAGGGGGAGGCCTCCCAGAAGGAGGTGAATTTTACAGAAGTGCCAGGAAGCCCCCAGGCAGGAGGTGTGTGGGAGAGGGCATAGAGGCAAGGCTCCAGCACCTCGGGGGGAATTACAGTAAACGCCGCAGGGTGCTAGTACCGGGCCATTTGCACAGAGGCACCTGCTCTGGGCACAATGCTTAGGAAGAAGGGTCCAGCCCCACACCCTGTCTGCCCACACCTCTGCCCCATGGGTAGAAGCCCCTGTGCAGAGCACAGCCAGATGGGGTGACCCTGATGGGATGGGGGGGCACCTAAGAGCCTTTGGACACCCCTGAAACATCCCCTGTGGCTTGATGGGATGAGCAAAACCCCCACCTGTGCTGTGTTCTGTGGGAAGAAAAAAGGGACAGGGAGGATGGAGAGGAACGAAGACCGGAGGAGGCATGTGCAAGCCAAAAGGGATTTGTTTGACCCTCAGGAGGATTTTCCTTGGCGTGTGCTCTGAAAGCCAAGCAGTCCCGAGAAGAAAAGCAATGAATCATTTATGATTGTATTTATTAAAGGCCTCTGCACTATTATTATCGAACCTTAATTGGCTTGGCGCTCACTTGGCACTGCCTCTCCCGACCCCTGCCCCTCCCGTTGCCCTCAGAAATTCCTCTGATGATGAAGGAGGGACCAGACCGCGCCTGGGAGCAGGGGCAGCTGGGCAAGAATCCACCGCAAGATCAAATGGAATGCAGTCCTTTTTTTTTCTTTCCCCCTGCTTGGATCAAGTATTAATAAATGCGTCTGGTTTGGGCGTTCGCTCGCTGCCCGCACGTGGTCTGCTGCAAGCTCCTGGCATCTCTTAGCCGTCTTTGCTGACCCTGCCGCGCGAGAACGTTCCCATTAAGCTGCCCCCTCCAGTGGCCCCACAAGAGCAGCAACTTGGTGCATGACAATGCAAGTCCCTTGTTCCTAGTGCCACACTGGGCATTGAACCAACAACAATATGCATGTTACCTGATTTACTTCTTTTAATACACTTCATTGTGATTATTACTGCATAAAAGAGAGGACAAATTGGCAAGTAATTACAATGTTAATTTGGCAATGTTTTATCATATTGGGAAGGCGCTGTTTCCTCTCTAATTGTATTGGGGGGGGGCCGTTTGTCTAGGGTACAGCTTACGGAGGGATTCTGGAACGTGGAAGTGAAACACACAGGAGATGGGGCACGGGCTCTCCTCCCCGTAAATATTCCTTTATTTGCATGTGTTTTGCAGCCTTCTTAAAAAGCTAACTCGTTTATTCAGGCCTAATTAATGGAATGCCACAGAATGCATAATTAGTCTGTGACAGCGCCAGCTGATGGATGGCTTTGGGTTCGGAAACGGGAGATTGCCCCCAGTTAAAAGGGCTGAACACTTGCGTTTCAGAATCTCACCGGCTGTGCGTGCCTCACGACCGTCCCGCCCGAGAACACGACTGTGGTTCCTGGAAAGTGCCCCAGTCCCGGGTGCCAAGAGGCCTTCCTCACCTTCCTGTGTGTGATGTGTGTCTGCAGCATGATCGGGGCGATGGCACAGACACCCTCGGTCATCATCCTTATCAGGTAAGCTCAGGGCCGGGGACTTGAGAGCCAGGCTTCCCTCTCACCCTGCCCCTGCCTACCTCATGGGCGCCGGCAGTCCTCAGGGGCCCAGAACGTCAGGTACTGCGTGCATCTCTGAAGCCGGATTCCCCGGGCTGATAGGGGTCCGTTAACATCTGACGGGACCTCACAAGAGACCAGAAAGCGTGGCCCAAGGGCGATGATACACCTTCATATCCTCCCAAGAGTAGACCCTGCAGGTGATTTGGAAAGGAACCATGGTCCTGCGTCAATTTTTACAGAGAGCAGCATTATTGCAATAAGACGGAAATGGCACTGGACTAGCCAAGTCCTCAAGTCCAGCGCCCGTCCCACCGCTGATCAGCCACATGACCTTGGGCCCATTTTCCCTCAGAGGTGTTTCTGAATTGGGGCCAGGGAGTGATGTCATTGGTCCTGCTGGCCTCCTGCGGTGGTGTGGGTCCCAGGGAGGCCACGGGTCTGCCAACAGTGACCTCTCTTGTACAAATAGATGGTTGGAGAGGGCACTCAGAGTCTGTGGCTCCCTGTGTCTCGGGACCTGTCGCAGGGGCAGGGGCGCTGCCTCCAAGGGGACCTATGGAGTCCTCTTCTGAGTAACGTGTACATCTGCCAAGTTATCTAGAGTTGTTTGAGGAACCTAGAAGTGGAATGTTCCATAACCCAGAATCTTTGTTGAACCACAGGAAGGGACACCAAACACAGACCCACCTTACTGGGATGTGGCTAGTTCCCTCCTCAGCTAGAAATACAAGTAGGAATGCAGCGCTTGAGTGTGACCTGTGCCTACCCATGTCCCCAGCTGCTTTATCCAGCTCCGTCTTTCTCCCCATGCCCACCGCGTTTCCCGGGCTCAGTGATGAATTCCTAAGGAAGAGTATTTCTGCAAAGTGCTTATGTTCTCAAGGAGGTCATTAGCAAAGCCTTGTTAATGTGCAGAAGCATTAAGGCAACAATAACAACGTGCCATTCTGTACTTACTAAACGAGAAATCAGTGTTAAATATTCACGCCCAGTGTTTGAAGGGCTGTAGCAACCCTGGTCAACTCCCATACTGCTGGGGGCGTTGAAAAGCCCATCGCTCCGATTTCAAAGAAGCACTCTAACATTGTGAATTAAGAGTCATAAAAGTGTTCAAATTTTTTATGAGGTAACCCTGCCTCTCGCCACTTAGGAAAATACTGCTCTACCAGAAAAACAGCTCTGTGCAGACAGATTTTTATTACTATGTTAACTATAATAGGAGAAAAACCTGAATTGGAATAATGAATTAAATTATAGTACTCTACCATAGCTCAATGGGATAATGAAAATCCTTAAGAATGTGAAAAGTATTTGTGGAGTGAACTATTGCATTTAAATTATATACAGCAGTTAATGATGTAGAATATGCATGTGGACAAAGCCCGTCAGGTCCTAGGTCTGGGTCTGGGGTGGCTGTGTTCCAGGTAACTTATTTTTCATTTTTAGAAATTCCCGTGAAGTTATATTGTGTTGGCCACATACAAAAGACACCAAGGTGCAGGAAGAAAATGACCTTCGTGACCATTAGCAGTGACTAGTCCCCTTTCTTTGCTCTCCATGACTTCCATACAAAAAAGCCAACTCACTGTTTGCAACTGGCAGAGCAAACACAGAAAGGTGAAATCTTAATCACTTCCAAGTCCCAGCTTGATAAACAGCTCTTGGAGATTTTCAGGAAACTATTTTGATTCCTTTGGCTAGATCAGCAGCAGGTGGCCTGTATGACCTAGACTGGGTCTCGGCCACCCCATAACCCCGTGCTCTGCTGGGGTCTGTGAGAGGCACAGACTTGTATATCGGGTCCATCAAGGTGAACGGGGTAGCCCCTTATTCTGTCACCATCCCAGTCCACTTTGCCATCCTAGATGATCTAGGCAGACACGAGGGCACAGCCCAGGCATGTGCCAGCCTTATCCCGTGCCAGAGTGATGGTCCCACTGTAGTGCACAGAGCACCCCTAGGTGAGAAGATAAGCTGACCCTCATTGAGCCCCTCTTTCGGAGCCAGCACTGTGCTCCTGTTTTAATTATGTGTTTACATCCTGATTAGCATTCCCCTTCTACAGATGGAGAGGTAGAGGCTCCGAGAGTGTTTAAGCAGTATTCTCAAGGTCATCAGCCCCTAAGTTGTAGACCTAAGCCCTCACCCCTGGCCTTGCCCAGACCTTTCAGTAACATTCAGACCCAAACCTTCCATTTCTGCATAGCTCGATCTGAGAAGGAAGGCTCCCCCCATGGGAACCAGTTCCCCAACAGGATATGATGAGAGATCTTAGCACCTTGCTCATTTTATTCCTAGTGACAGGAGAGCTGAAAGGAAAGCAAATTTCAAGTGATAAGTATTCTAGCTCATTATGCCAGCACGTTTGCTTGAGAAGAAAAATTTGCCTTTATTTGGGTGTCTTTCGATTCAGTACCTTCAAGGGAATGTGCAAAATGCAGAACCAGGGAGCCGATAATAGCTCTGAAGAACTTAGATTTGGAAACAAGTATGTTCTGAAGAGAACTGGCTGTGCTTCTGTCCAGAAACGCTGAACTCATCATTGATGTTGTTTGGGTCTCTGGCTTCATCAGCTGAAGAATGGTTTCCCATCACTCAGAGAAAGTCTTGACTTGCTGGCCTGTATCACACTCTTTATAATTAAGAAGAAATGGGTATTTCCCCAAGAATAACACATTTTTAGTTTTCACTGGAAATCTTAGAAATAGGGCAGAGACTGTAAAAACTACAGCCATGTTCCTTTGGGTTTGATGACGTCCTTTGGTCGCTCTGCCAAGAAGCCAAAGACAGGCCCGCCTAAAGCTTGAATTAGGTGGTAGGTCATTGGATGGATAACGTCGGATGGTGAGATGAATGACCTCTGGGGTCATGTTAGAATATACTTTTAGCGTAAATCTACAGTCAGGTTATGTATCCTGGGTATTAGATATCCTAGGGGATTTAAGATAACCAGTGGTGACTTTGTTTCTAACATTTTTTTCTACAGAGTTGATTGCCTAGGTCCTCCCTGTGCTGCATGGGTCTTTCTGGTCTTTGAGCCTCCTTGTGTTTTCAAAGTGAGTCCAGTGAGCCACACTGGGCTGGTTTTAGGCCTAGCCAAGTCCTTCCAGGGGTCATAGTTGTGTACTCACCACCCCATTTCCCCTAGGGACTTAGGATGGGAATGGCATAAGGGGAAGTTTCTCTGCCAGTGATGTCCTGAAGCAGGTGTGCATGTAGTCCATCAAATACACTAGATTTTATATATTACTAGAATTTATATATTACTCAGTACATCGTCACCGTGATGTGCTCATGATGAACAAGAGCAGGTCATCCCTGGACTCAAGGAGAGAGGACAAGCCTTGAATTAATACTAGTTTTAAGGGGAAGAGGCATTTCAAAAAAGATGTGTTATCAGCTGGGAGGGCCCCTTTATCTGGAATGGTCATCACTTCCAAACCACCTCTACTGTCACACTCATCCCAGAAAATGTTCTACCCTGAGAATATTCTAGAAAATGTGCAAGAGACTCATTCTAACGGACTCTTCTAGATAAACCAAAGCCAGGGTGATTGACTCATTTCAAAACAAAGAACCAAGACCCTATGAAGATACTTTTCCAATTTAAAAGGTAGTGGCATTGGATATGGATGAATGGGTTATTTTGCAAGTGGTCTGTCTGCGGTGTCAAACCAATGCTCGTCTGGTTGATTTCACAGAATAACCTTGGAAGGACGAGGGTGTTCATGGTGCTGTTTGTGAAGCCTAAGAGACACGGTCTTCCCAGTTCATATTTCCCCAATACATGTATCCTACCAAGTTAAGATGATTTCCTATCCTGGTAAAAGCAAAATGCCTTTCAATGAAGACTTAAGGGACCACATTTGCATGTCTTCCTTCCAAGGACAAGATTAGCCCCATTATTCACACTTTCAAGTTCCTACACTTATCTTGTCATTGCGTTAGTTGCTTTTCAGACTTTAAACAGAAAGCCAAAAAAAAAAAAAAAAGGACCCCAAAAACTATTAATTTCTGAAGAATGGCTCTGATGGACGGCCGTGGAGGACTCTGGGGTCTGTTAATTAAAGCGGAGTGATAAGAATCTTTTCCTTTCTCCTCTTCATCTCTTTGCATGTAGGACAGTCAGCCCTGAACTCAAGTCTTACGCCCTGGGAGTCCTGTTCCTCCTCCTCCGTTTGTTGGGTATGTATGCTCTCTTTATTCCTTCAGTAATGAATTGGATGCTTATACACAGGTGAGTAAAAGTCCGCGACTTTGTCCCGTTTCTTGAGCCATTTTTTTTTTTCTATGCAGTTTAATAACTGTTAGTAAACAAGAGAAACTTAAAATCTGTATGTTTTGCTCTTGGTTGATACCTAGCTTCTCTCTGGATACCGCCAAGTTTTCCTTTATATAAACTCTGTCTCTGTGACACACTGAATTCTCAGAGACATAAGAAGGGGAAAGTGATGGCACCAAAGGGAAAAACATTTGATGGCATAACATGGCTCCCTCATTAAGCAAACCCTGGGCAGCTCATGAAACACCTTGTTTATGGGGCCACCAGCTGGGACAGAGAGGCAATCTTACAACACATCACAAATGGAAACTTTGCGCCCTTTAAATTTTCCCAAACTGATTGAGTTTATTTAACTTGGGTTTCCAGGATGGGACAAAGGTGACCTTCGTGCTATAGAACGTACATTCCAAGGTTTGGTATGGATAAAAGGAATTAAGTCTAACCCTCTCATTTTTAAAATGAGAAAATAGAGCACAGGAATATTCCATGGTTCTCCCTGGGTCCTAGGACAGGCTGAGGCGAAGCTGGAACGGCTCACTGGGTAATTCAGCTGCCAGGCATGCCCCACCCATGTCCCTCTAGACCTCTGTTGCTTTATGAACATCCCTTTGTCAAAACCAAGATAAAAACAGGGTAACTTTTCCCCTTGAAGACTAGTGGTCTTCTTTAATGGTCATTGTATGGTAAATGTGCAAAGGGAGATAACCATGGTGTGTATTTTGAGAGTAAAAATTAAACTCCTTATTCTAAGTGTATCACTGTAGATGCGCACAAAGACTCAGACCTAGAAATATTTATGAAAATGTTTGTAAAACATGAAAAATTGGCAACCCCCCAACGTCCAGCAGCCAGGGAATTAATTATATCTATTATGATTCAGAATTCCAGTAGGATTTATAGCCCCCTCTAAAATTCTGGTAAGTATGTATAAACATTGAAAGGGCACATGACCTATGGAAGAGGAAGAAAAGTCTATAATATACTATATATTCAAGTGTTTTTAAATATAAACATGGAACAGTATTAGAAAGCTAAATAAACATGGTATGTTGTTGTCTGGGTAAGAATATATAAATCCTATTTTCTAAATGTTTTAAAATTTTGAATGAATATGTAGGTGCCTGTTACTTTTATAATGAGATCAATTCCTGATATCCAGAAGAACCTCCAGCCTCTGGTCATTCATAAGGTCCTCGCTGGGGAATGGCAAGTCCTGGGCAAATGCAGCCCCTCACTTCCTTTCTCAGCCTGTAGCAGAATATTTCCAGTGGGCTGCTGTGGTCCTTCCTCCCATGCCCAGGACAAGGTCCCAGCATCCTCTCCACTATTACTAATCCATGGATATGGGTGCACATAGGGAAACTTAAGTGGCGTTTTTTATCTTACTTTGATCTTGTAGGAAACAAAAATGCCCTAGGTGTGAAGATACCCAGTTAAGACAAGTTCAGTAGGAATTCAAACTAAAACATTTAGGACTCCCTGTTGTAGTGGCTTGTAGAATTCTATAACCACAGGGTATTCGTCATGTTGATTTTTTTTTTTCCTTCTACTCGGGAGGGCCAAGTATGCACGCATCGTAATGTCTCACCCCTGCTGCCTTGATTTGGGTGGATAAAGGAGTGTGTAACATCAGATAGCATGTTGGGAACCCTTATTTCTGTAAATGTTAAAGTAGTTTCACATACACATTCATTCAACAAACTAATATTTATTGAGCACCTAATGGGTTCACACCTTCCGTGGACCATGCCCAGATAAGGGGCCCACAGCTCTCTTCCCAGGAGTCCTCTTGCAAGCTGACCGGGGAAGGTGGGACTCCCCCATCTGTGGAGTTGCTCTAAGGGAATATCTGTACCTCTAAACAGATGCTGAAGACTCCAAAAATAGCTGGTAAGAACAAAAACAACAAAAAAATAGTTACCCTTTAGAATAACTTGATAGCACAAAATGAAAAAAAAAAGATTTGTAAAATATTTCTGAAATGATAATGAAAATTACAGGACACTTGAAATCAGAATGGAAAATTATATCACTTGTATAATGTGACACTGTTAAGATCCTTGTATGTTGCCCTAAAGCAGTTCCATGTTTGTAGGAATAATCAGCCAGGCATTATCGAGAATCGTATTTTCCAACTTCTGTGACTGATCCCCAGTGAGAGATAAGTTTTACGTTATGGTCCAGTACCCACATACATATGCATTAATATAGCTGTGACAAAAATTTCACAAAAATAGTACCCTTAAGGTGTATGTATTCTCTTCTCTTCCATGCTTTTTAAGAAGTTGGTCATGACCCATGATATTGCTTTTGTTTCCCCTTTATGGGTCACCAGAGTCTAGAGAACTCCACTCTAGCAGGATATGGTAGCTTCATCTTTTCCTTAAAAGCAGCTTCTCAAAGAGGTCTTTGCAACTGATTCCATTTCCTGCAGCACCCAAGAAGCTTAACCGCCATTACTGTTAACGAGGGGTCAACCGAGAAATCAGATTCCACGACCCTGTTGGCCTTTGTGATTGGCCCTGTAGATGGGTAGTGGGAACTCAATGGAGCATCACAGTGGGGTGTGGCAAGATACGTGATGGCATCAACACGGGTGCAACACGGGTGGAAGAGCCACTGAACCTGGCCTTGGTGTGGGGGCGGGGGTGTGGATTTGAAACCATGTGGTGTCTGCCTCAGACATGAAGACTGAGCAAGAGGTATGTAGGTGAGCCGGGAGACTGCTTTATAGGGAGGGCCTTGCAGAAGTAAAAGCCTGGGAGGGAGCACCATGTTTGGGGCTGCAGGAAGCCCTGTGTGGCTGGAGTGTGCAGGGCAAAAGATGGGGCAGGGGTGGGCGGCCACCAGGAATGTGATCTGAAGGGGTGGCTGCCCTGTCCACAGGTTTGACCTTTATCTCTAAGGCAGAGGAAGTCATGGATGGACTTTATCCAGGAAGTCACCAGGCGGTTGTGCTTTTGAGGAAAGCCCACCGTGTGTGCTGTAAGGAGAATGAGCATGTGGGGACTGAACCACCACCAGTACCACGGAGTAGCTGGTGGAGTATCTGATGGCCTGGGTGGGGGAGGGACGGGTAGAAGAAGAACCATCCAGGCTAAGTCTCTGAACGGAAGTGTACACACTAGAGTATGTAAGAGGGAAGAATCCACAGTGACAGCTCCTTAAAGAGGCTCGGATCACATGATGAATGGGGACATTGCTTATTGAAACAGAAAGACCCGGAGGAAGAGAGATTTGGGAGTGGCATAGACCAGTACTGTGCAGTAGAACTTTCTAGAATAATGGAAATGCTCTATATTTGCATCACCTGTGGCTATTGAGCACTTGAACTGGGGCTTCTATAAATTTTAGTTTTTACTGAGTTTTATTTAAGTAGCCACATGGGGCGAGTGGTGTCGGATACTCTGAGGCACTACTCTCAGGGAGGCAGAACCTGAGGCAGTGGGGCAGCAGGGGGAGCCCACTCTTCCCAGATTCTTGGCTGTGCAGAGCATAAAGAAAGAAGGTAGGACCCAGAAGTGAATGTGAGATTTTTTTTCTTGTTGCTTTAAATGCCAGTGGAAAGGAATTGATAGATCAGGAGCAGGGACGGTAGTGGCAAAGGTCGGTGTGGCTCAGGGAGCTTCCCCCGCAGTCCTGGAGCAGAAGTGGGAACGTGGTTGGTAGTATCAATGGCAGGTGTGCTAGAAAGAAGGTGGGGCAGAGAAACTAAGGATGATGGCCAAAGTGGGGTTCATGGTTGATCAAGGTTGTAGGCAGGATCAGGGAGACAGGACAAAGCCCAGGGTGTGGCACAGCCAGAGAGGAAAGGAAGTAAAGGACTTTGACCTTAAGAAAGAGTTGATGAAAGGCTAGGATGAGGAACTGCACGTCCATGGAGAAGTCAGCCGGGACAGCGGCAAAAGTTGAGTGGGGAGAGAAGGACACTGACCTGAGTCAGTAAATCCAGAGTAAACGGAATGTCCCACTCGTAGCAGAATTGCTGATGCATTCAAATCCGTCCTCCTCCGTCCTTCTGCAAATGTCCTGATCACTGCTTTTCTGAGTATTGGCAAACCAACTGCTTGAAGATCTCGTCCACAATCTTGCCCCTGGGGTCTAGTGCATGCTGTGGATGTTACACCAAGTGAAATTAATGGAAACAGATATGCACTGAGATCCTGCTATGTCCAGGACCCTGTTCAAGATGCTGCAAAGAAGATAAAAATATGCAGGAGCCAGTATCCTGCCTCCATAGGGCTCCAAGTAGGAGAACGAAGCAAATATCAGGGATATATAGGGCTGGACCTTGAATTTCAAGGGGGAAAATATTTTACTTGGTTAAGTAGTTGCCAGTGGGGAGCAAATGACAGATAAAGATGGGAAAGTGGAAATGCATTCCAAGTTCTGATTTAGGGAGATCCGCCTGGGAGCAGGTTGGTTCTGCAGGGTGTGGTATCAGGAAGTGAAGGGAGAAGCAGCAAACCAGGGCATAGCAGCGGAACAGTAAAAAGGCAAGGACAGGTGCAAGCGCATGGTGGAGGTAACATCTATTGAAACCCCCCACAGTCGACTAGAGGAAAGCATGAGAGAACCAACAGAAACGCAAGGGGAAGCAGAGGATTTCAGTCCCTGGGGATTGAGAGTAGGGAGAAGCCTTACCCTCCATCAGTTGTCTCAAGGGTATTGTCGGGACTAGGCTGGCCGTCAGACTCTCCTCCCACAGATGCCCACTCTCAGTTTTCAGAGCACCCGCCAAGCAAAAAGCACGGAGAACATCAGCCTCCGGGTGCACCTCTGAACCCACGTGTCTTTTAAGCAAACCATCCCTGTGTCTTGAGTGATTCAGGAGCTACTCCAGGAGCAGCACATCTGGGAAACTCCAGGCAGGCAAAAGAAATGAGCGCTCTGGCAGAAGTCA